AAAGAACAATATGGCATATGCACGATTTAAATAGTAAAATGTTTTGGCTTAAATTTAAAAATTTAATTACACACTACGCAGTAATTGAAACTTGGTTTATGGTAATTGTTTCAAATTTGAATTTACTCTTCACAGTTTTTCATCAAACGTGTTTTTACAGATTTCCTGTAAATTTTTATAGATATCTCATCAAATTTTTTACGTTTCCTGGAATAAAATAAGTTCCTTATAAACAAAAACACACTCTAAACTCGTAGTATTTAGAGAATTTTAATTATAAAACTAATATTTATTTTTATTTCCTCTATTCTGAAATTAATACTAGGAATAGTTTTATTTTTATTAACATTTTATCTACATGCTGTAGATAAATAATAATAACTTATATAATATGATAATAATAATAAATTGCATCATTAGTTTATATTTTTATCTTATTATTTTAATATTAACTTTGAGCTTTTCAGTAAAAATATATTTTTTAGTTCATTGAAACTGAGAAATTAACGAAAGAGATTTAAAATATTAAACGTTTTATAATTTTTATGATTAATTATTAACTTATTTAACTGCCATTGTTTTCAGTGTAATAAAAATAAATGGTGAAAAATTATGCATTTATAGATAAAATGTGTGTGATTTTTTTTTTTTTTTGAACTTGAATAAATATAATGATATTTCTTGATTTTTTGGTTTTGTACGTATATAATTTATCATGATTTTAACTTGTATAGTTTAAGTATATTTTACTGGAACAATTTTTATTTGAAAAAAAAAATGTTTCTTAATGATTTGAAATGATTTATTATAGTTTAAACGAAAAATGTAGTTTAGCGTTGTTTTTTCAGACGTTAACTGACCATTAAAATCACAAGCAATAACAATATATTTGTTTTTTTCTTTATCTCGAACGCACATAAGCTTTGTACCTATAATCTAAATTTCTTTTAATTTATTACTTTCACTATTGTACATGCAACATTCAACATTTTGTGAAAAAAAATTATTCACAACAATGTTTTATTTTACAAGTATATTAATAGTTCATTAATTGTTTAATAGTAATAAGTAAATATTTAACAAATCTTAAATTTCCTTAGTCCTTAGTTTTACTACCTACAGTATTTTAAACTATTAATATTATAAAATTTACCTCAGTGATGAATAATGCTAAATTTTTTTTTCTATTTATATCAATATTTATTAACTGAATATAACATTATTATTTCTAGAATTATTTTTTACTGGCGTCAATTTATCCTAGAGAAAAAATAAATAGCACACTACACAGATATTAAATTGTTAGCTTGACCTAAATATTGAATAATACAATTATTTTTATTTCACTAATTAAATCAATTTAATTAATTTTATCAATAATATTTTTCCAAATATATAAAACTAACATAACTTTTAAGTTTTCTGAAGATTTAATAGTAAATTTAGGTTTTTTTTTTTTTATACGTCATACTATAAGACGTAAATTATAATTGTATAATATTTTATAAATTTAAAAAAATGTGTAACAAAAAAAAAATATTTATACCTAATGTACCGGTGCAGTTTATTTTGTTTGTTTTCTTTTATACTAAAACATAAAACAGAGATATATTGTTTTAAATTTTATTTTATACAGAAATGTATTTACAATGAGATTTTTAAATTTTTTTATTTTTTTTTATCAGATTATAACAAATCGCAATATTTGATTCACTACTTACATAACAGAAAAATAAAACTATGCATTATTTATCTCGTTTTTTATAAATACTAAATATTTATAAGACCGATTTATCTAAAAAAAATTTAAGTTAAAATATTTATTACTATTAAGCTTTAGTTTAGAGTTATACATTTTTAAATCAATTACTTACAATTGTACGCATATTAACTTTCTATTGCTATAATCATTTAACAAAATATAATTTATAAAAACAATAGTTTAATGATGTTTGTTAAAACACATTGTATTAATCGTCAACCGGCTTATACCATTTTTAATGTGAATACTCTCGCTTACTTACGTTTAATATTGTTCTTCGCAGGGTCTATGCCATGTAGTGTGAGTAAAAATAGCAACCACTATAGTAATAATATTTTTAAAGAACCGTTTATTTTTTTGTTTTTGGCAGTCTAGTCGACAAAGCCAATAAAAGCGGTTGTTGCGCGTAGTATTATATTGTAATAATAACACAAAGTATCTGTATATTATAATAATATGTGTTGTGAATATGATAATATTATCAACAACAGTTATATATATCTATATCATAATATCATAATAAATATTTTTTCTCAGTTGTTTAAAATAACTATTATACAGTTCGTTTAATATAGAAAAGAAAACCGTTCAAAGAAAATGCAAGCAGGTATGTATGTACGATTCAATTTAAAAACGCTCTCAGCTGCGTTGTTTTAAATCCATCGAGAATTGATACGTTAACAAGTTTATTATATTATTATACCTATCACACCAATTGGTAGCAGCATATTCCATTTGAATTGTGTATACTTGCCACTTGAGATTTTTAAAATTGTAATTATATTTTATACGGCACTTTGTATTTTTATACGATCATGTTACAAATCCTTCGAGGCGTAAACACAAAGTGTGGGAATAATAAATATGACAGCAAATTACATTTATTATTTTGCACAATAATAAGTAAAATATATGGATAATATTTTATAGTATACGATGTATATTATATATGTTATACTTATTTTTAATTATTTTAGAATTATTTTTATTATATGTAGATTTTAGAGTTTCGTCTGTTTATTTGATTAAAGGTACCCTTAACGAAAAACTTCATTACCTACTTAATATATTTCATAACTAAAAACATATAATATTATTTTACGATCTATATTTTATATTATGAAATAAAATTTCATATTTATTTGTATTCTATTTATTTAATTTAAATTTAAATTTAAATGAAAGAAGTGTAGATTATATGTTCATTTATCCTGTTTAAACATTTATAATGCTTATATTGCAATATTTTAAAGAATTCATATTAAGCCTGAACTTTTGTTGTATGATATATATATATATAAAAAAAAATGTATTGACATATTATTATTTAAAGTATTTAAAAATATTTGATATTTCTTATCGTATAATGTGATTAGTTGTATGTAAAACTACCGAGCCATTAAAATGTTTTAGTTTATACTTAGTTAAGTAATAAAGATTAAAAAATATTTTATTTTTAATTTATAATCAATGCAGTTTTATAAAAAAAGTTTATATATTCTGTAACTATAAATAGTACATAAATTTCTGATAGAATTTAATAAATAGTTTTGACCCAAAAAATTTTTCATTTCTATTATTATTTATACATTATAGGTACTTTCACGTTTTGTTTACTATTGTTGCACTGTGAACGTGTTTTAATAAATATTGAATTATATAAATTAAATTTGGAATAGTTAATTTTTTTTTTTATAGATATCATTTAAAAGTTAAGTCCCTCAAAATATAATGACTTCTCAAATATCAAACAAAACTATATAAAATAAATTAATTTGTAAACGTAATTAGAAATCTAGAATAATATTATCAACATAATTTTAAGCTATATCATATGAATGATTTATGGAAATGTATGCATAATAGTATATTTAAAAAATTATAAAAAATAACGTCCCTTAATTAAATTCTATCATGATGGGGAAAGGTTACAACTCTTTTTTTACAACAATAGTAATACTGAGAACTCTTCTTCAACGACATACCTTATGAATCAATCACTTGAATTCTCTTTCAACAATAATATTAACTTTCATTTTATTTAATAATAGTTTGAAAATGTATTTACTATAATTATAAATATATTAAAACCCCAAACCCGCTTCCCAATACGAGGATAACTTTATTGCCTCTTACCCTGAAAAAAAATAAATATTATCGTTCTATTAAAACTCCACTACAAAAGTGTATTGATTCGTATATTTCTGTTGGTAGTTCAATAATATTCTGTATCTGTATAATGTATACCAATCACACATTCATATTCTGGTTTTGGCGAATGTGAATATGATGTTTAATTATAAGAGTTCAAACAAACGAACGCAAGGTGTATAATTAATAGATAGTGTATAATTTATTTTATGTATTATATTACTATATTATCGTACTACTAATTATTACAACATAATACACACGTAAATACGGTTATTGTAGTAGTTTGGCATAAAAACACTAAAGATAGTGCCGACTGAAAAAGCAGTGACATTTTATAAACGTATTCGGTTGCCAACGGTGTGAGCATAAAATATTTCAAAATATAATAATATATTTTCATTAGTTTCGGGTTTAGTGGTTGTTTCACCTGTTTAACAATTTTGGTGAGCGGTATAATAAAGGATAGACTTTAGCCGCAATACAGCAGTGATGGATTTTCGTGTTATTCATTTTGGTGCCTAACAGGAGTATAAATTTGGTTGTGGTGTAAAACGTTTTTTACACCGTATAAATATAAATTATAGCTAATAAAACTCGAAGTCTGAAACGTATACGTTGAAATTTATAATGTATTATTCTGCCATAAATTTTATTATTATTATTTTACTATCACTTTTATTTTCATTTTTTTTTAGGTATGTATAATTTTGTTTACATTAACAACAGAAATAAAATATTCTATTTTTTTTTTTTTTTTTTTTTTATCATAAGTTATTAATTCTGTACGATTGAGTGTTAAGGACGTCCACCGTACATGTTTCTTGTATCGTTTATTTGATATCAATGAAATCGTAATAAAATAATAATAATAATAATAATAATAATATAATAATAAAATATACTATAAACAATTAATTTTATTCTAAGATTTATTTATTTTAAAATATTTTGTAATCGATGTATTTGAATAAAATAATACCTACTTTAAAAACAAAACCAAATACACTGAAATTTTTATGTACGCATACATTAAAGTTACTACATTAAATTTAAAGCTTGTTAATAATAAATTATATTTTTTTAGGAATTTATAACCACCAAATATCGTCATAATGTCTTCAAGTCAAAGTGATTCTGAATTTCCAGCTGGCATAGATCATCATAACAAAAAGTTCACCACCATAATTATTTACCCAACGGGTAAGATTTCAAATGAAAAATTTAAAGAACAGAATAATCTCATATGCAAATATATTTGATGATTTCAGTAACCCCAGAAAAGATAATCATACCAATGGTATCGTGCATTTTGGGTTTTCCATTGTTGGCACTAATGGTGATATGCTGTTTAAGACGTAGGGCAAAATTAGCGAGAGACCGAGATCGTCGAAGAAATTTGGGGTGAGTCTCACTATTATACTATTATACTGTTACTATTCATAATACTCTATATATATATATATTATTATATAGTATAAACATTGAAATGTTTTCAATGTATTCACTCTGATGTATGGAATATATTATATACATAATAATTAATCAAAATTAATATTTCTTTTTAAAAAATAAGAAAAACTGATTCTAATTGATAAGTTTGCGACATGGATTTAAATTTGAATATTAATGATTTTGGAAGTTTAAATAAAATATGTATTTTGATATTCGTATTAACATAGCAATATATTGGAAACCAATTTTATTAAATTACCTTAGATGGCATAATTTAAATTGTAATTCGTATAATAATAACTTTTTTTTAAAATTAAAAGTTATATAACCATAAGGTGTATAGATAATAAAAGTTTGAAAAGTTTGGGTAATAATAAATACAAATTTCATTAAAATAATTACAATTACGATGTTTACGATTATGAATTTTATTACATATTTTCGCTTTATTTTGAATTTATATGAATGCGTTGAACCATACACCGTTAAATTCATTTTAACTATAAATATTAATATTCAAAAAATAAATTAATACAAACCATTTTAAGTAACAGAGAACAATTTTATTGATTCTTAATATTGAACCTAATGCACATGATTTTTATTTTTGAGTACTATTTATCCGTTATCGATGTTTTTACTGAAAATAAGCAAAATATATTTTATCCAAAAAAAAAATAATGAAATAAAAATAAAAAAATAAATAGTTTTTGGCATTTGGATAGAATAACAGAAAATTTAATACTTATTATTTTTTTTTTTTTAACGTTAAACATACACAATTAAAGTGTAGAGTTGTATTAAATTTACGGATGATAAATCGTTGGTTTCAAAATGATTCTCCAATTCAAAATAATATAATAGTAAAACTTTCAAAAGGGTTAAATTTATAGTTAAGTTTCTGATTGTTGAATAATCTTAACATTTAAACTAGTACTTAAACCATTAAATACGAATATAATTTAATGTATTTGTATGAATTCAAATATGCACTGTACACTGTATATATTTAAAAATTGATAAAAAAAATTACTACAAGCTATGTCTTGAAACTTTATAATAAAAATATTTGATTGCATTTTTAGATATTATCTGATTTATATATATATATTTACATGTATTGTACATATAAATTGTTTGTATAAGTTACAATTCTGTAGAAAATTTTGTACTTTTAATTCTAATTCAATCCTGTAAATTATAAGTCCATTTGATTTGTAAATTGATGTCAGAAAAATGTTATTTTTTTAATATACTCAAATTATTTAATTTATGAACAGAATTATAACTTAATATAAATTGAAATTTAATAATAAAATATATTTTGACACTAAAATGTTATACATTTATATTTAATTTAAAAAATGGTATGACAAGAATTACAACTATATGACGTCACGATTAACTTTATAAACGTATTATACATAATTTTATAACAAATTCCTCGGTTACTCGAAAACTATATATTTTATTTAAGAAAAGCTTACAATTTTTAAAAGCTTAGTCATCTTACTTTGCCAAGCTTGCAGCTTCTTAAATCCTTGGATTCGTTTATAAAAAAAAAAATGTAAAAAATAAATGTCTACTGGTTTTATTATTCCATATCATTTGGAACGAAGTCTAATTTATTCTACGCTATGTCCCATCGTTTGTTTTCTTTATTTACAGAGTCAATAGTATAGGCCATAACTTATTAAATTACAAATTACATTGTTTCATAGGCGACATGATACTATTGAAATATATTGATTATTCAAATGATTCCATTAAGTTTCTAAGTGATCTAAAACGTTTAATTAGTTATTTTAGGATTTGAGAGTGACATTTAATCTCGATAAGTATCGTATAATCATAATATTTATTAAATCTCAAATTCTCGTGATAAACCCACTCATCTCTAATATAGGCGTACTATTTTACGTATTGTTTTTTTTTTTTTTTTATAGATATTAGTTTCAAACTTAATACTTCACTTAATTTCCATCAGTTAAAAAACCATCCTTATATTGAGATGATATATTGCAAAGCGTGTATAGGTAATACTTGGATTGTTAATGGAGACAGTTTATTCTGGTTTAAAACTTAAAAATCTTTTAAAGCACTTTATTGCACTTATATTGGTTAAATTATTTATTGTAATTTTATTACTTGAGATCTACGTATTGAATATAACCGCTTCCTTAATATACGTTTTTTGTTTCACTAGATTCCTTTTAACTATCTATCAAATTAACCGACTACGCATCTTATGCTTAAAATATTTTAATATTTAATTTTATATGTTATTTTAGAATGACAATAATTAATTTATAAAATATTTAGTGACAAAATGTTAAAAGATTAATATCCATGTAGATACAATAAATAAATAGTATAATACTTGGTTATGCCTACGGAAAATAATTTCGATACATTAGCTAATACCTATTTGTTAATATAAAACATTTATACTTTTATGAATGGAAAATCCTTTTTTTTCCAACGTGCATTTATTGTTGATTGTGTGTATAGTTATAACATGAAGGTAAAGCTGCTTAAAATAACATATAATTATATATTCACCTTGTAAATTGATTTATCTTATCATACATAAAATAATTATTGAATCGTTTTTTGTGTTTTGATTGTTGCTGTGAGGTTTCTTTTTAAGTTTACACAACGTGCAGAAAAGATTTAATAGATTATTAATTTTATTCTAATCTTTATAATATGTACTACTACGTGGTATTTTAATAAAATGTATTTTATCTTTTAATATTATCACAAACGGTTCAGTACACACCTAGTTCAGATATGATAATATTTTTTTTTTGTGTACTAGTCGTCTTTAAGTAATTAATCTTGTATTCTAGACATATTGTGTTTATCAACCATGTAAAAATTAAGTGCTTTTATTTCTTCCTTTGTTTAGACAAGTTTATTTTATAAGTCGATATAAGCCAAATTTTGTTATTGGTGTAACATTCATTTGTATTCGCAGCCATTTGTCATTATTGTTTAAATCGTAGCCTCAATCATGGAAAAATTGTTTTTGTGTGTAAATTAGGCTAGTATTATATTTTTTTGTCGATTGGACGTTGTTAATGAGAGACAATAATTGAAGTCGATTAATACCTGGTTGGATATAATAAACCAACATAAATAAAAATTATTTATAAATATGAAATGGCATATAATATGATAAAAGTATATCGATAATATACAATTAGCATATGGCTGATATTTTAAAATATGCAATTGCATAAACAAATACTGACAACAATCTTAAGATTGAATGTATGGTAAAATAAGTTTTAATACTTAAAAATGCAAATATAATTAAAAGTGACATGATAAATTAAGTATTTACCTATATCACCCGAATCAATCAAACACGGTTTATAAATTTCAAATTTACAGATTTTCATTTTTCTTTTCTTATTAAAAAACAAAATCTATAGAAACTATGGCCATAAAATCTTACATTTAACTATACATATTATTTGAACATAAATTGAATTGGTATAACATTATTTAAATTATATAATGTATTTAAGTTAGATCATAAATTTGTATACAATTAAAAAAAATTTAATAGAAATTTAAATCCACAGATTCCGAAAAGATTTGAGAAATTTTGATGACAGTTTTGAACTTACAAATACATTCTTCGGTTTTTCATGATATACTTAATATTAAGTAACTCATCACATGTATATTGATCTATCTTATTTTTCTAATAGTTATCACCTATAATTTATAAATGAGTTTATCAAGTGTTACAGAATTCTATCGGGTTGAGTGTTGTTTAATTTTTTTATTATTTAGAGGAAAGAAGTCAATGGAAAAAATGAGATTAATTTAATGTGATAAGTTTTGTGTCATGCTGTGCACTATGCACTAATACATGTAGCGGAAAAATAGTTTCCCACAAGAAAAAACCGTCCTTTTCAGCATTCACAATAACAATCTATTAGATAGGAAAGATCCAACAAAATCTAACTCCAGAAAATGTGATTTTTTCAAGAAAGAAACTCACATTTCTAATACAACCATTCAACAAATGAAATTCTACATCGATAACAAGTCAAAATTCGTTGATAAAAATTTAACACTCATAACGTAACTACTCAATAGATAGTATGAAGAGACTATTTAAATTTAACTATGTTGTTTTTTTCGTATGTAAAGCAATGAAATTGTATTCTGTGTAAAGTTCAATCATTATTACAAATATGTTTATACAAATAAAAAAAAAAAAAAAAACGTTTAATGCAGAATACACAAAAAAAGCAGAGTATGCTAAAATTTCATAATTTAGTTTTACAGCCCAGGTAGAATGTAACAATTAAAAAGGTGCACAATTAGGCACTACTTTACTATAATACTATACAATAGATATTGGGTAGATAACGGTAAAAGATATGTTAAATGTGAATTCAGTGATATTATAACATTGTATACGAAAAATGATTCAAAGCAAAGACAGTCTGTGGTGTATATCACTATGTATTTAGTATATTTCATATTATATTTTTTGATATTTCTATTAAATAAAGTAATTTATTTTACTATTAGTAGGTAATTTGGTAGATTGAAGTTATTTTTTGCTGAAAATATTTAGTTGTATAATATAATTGTATGTAATCCGTAGAAGTATAATAATATACATAAAAATTTTAAGTTTCCACAAATTATACTTTTTAATTATAACAAAATAATGAATATCGTTATTTATAGTTGAAATATGTAATTTTTCAAAATTTTTACTTAAAATATATGTAGAAAAAATTATATCTATGTATTTTAAATATGTTTATATTTACAAGAATAATTTATGAGAAACCTTGTATTTATTATTAAATGAAAATTTAAAGCATTAATAGAAATAAAGTTTAAAATTTCAATAAATAATTGAAAAAGAGTAGACATATTTTTAAAATTGTATCATTCATTCATACACAGTAAAT